AACTGCGAGCAAAAAGCACTTTAAAACCAAATTCAACGAAAAGAAAACTTATCACTAATTGACCTTCAAGATTTGCAATCACCCAGCACACACCTTAACATTATAAATACAAAAATTGCACAAACTTACGCATTTTCGCGTTTCTCTTGGCTTACTTCGCTTTTCTTGTCTCTGTCTTTCTCTTTCCTGAAATTCTTTTGCTTATTTTTAGATTGAAACAACTGTGCGTCCAAAAAATTTATAATTGCCATTTAAGTTGACTTTGTGCGTTCATTCTGCGTTATTTTCTACAATTCACCTTCCTTGAGGTGGTGCAGAAAATGGCATTAAGGTGGTTATATAAGTTCCTAAAAGTCCAACTTACAAATCACAATTTTTTCCCAAGCGTTCGGTAACAGTTGTCTTTATTTATAACAAATTCATTACTGTCCAATGATGAATAGACCCAGCATCCAAGTTGAGTAAACTGTGAATTATGAACCAAATTTTATTTACCGCTGTATTAGAATAACAGGGAGATTATAAAGTTTTGAATTTTAAATAAAACGCACAGGAAAGTGACAATAGTATTCTCTGCTCAAAGCTTACATTCTTGCCAAAATATTGGAAATTAGTTAACACAGAAAATGCATATTGAAATCAATATAGGCTTAATTTGACGCTGAGTTATCCTATTGCCGCGTCGATAAGAATAATGAATAAGTGAATTTAAAATCGATTTATGCGACATTCAACGATTTCTCACATCACAGTCAAGATCCACACAACAATGAACTTGTAGCTACCAAAAGAGAATAATTGCACAATCTTTAAGTGAAATCTTCACTCGTATATCAGTTAATTGATTTATTCAGTGCATGTAGGGAAAGTGGGTAATAAGAAGCGATTTGGTCAAGTAGAGCATACTTTGGAGATTTAATTTTTGTAGCCAACATTTTTATATACTCCCACTATTGAAATTTGTGTCTTCATGTTTTGATACTCCCTTGTCTTCCTATTTATGGTGGTTTCAAGTTGAAGTTAAAGAAGAGTCAAGATTGGAAATACATGAAATATGAGTTAGTGGTGCATGAATAAAAACTACTTTCGATAAATCCATGCGATTTTGATTTGGGTGTTCTGGGATTCTTGAAAGTCACCAAACGTGTAAGTTAGGCTATCGATAACATTAGTCAATACGAAATGAATTCTAGGACAAGGGGTATGTCTAACCCCAAATACATGCTGTTTTAAACAGAAGTAGCAATTTTGGTCAGACTGTTGATTCCTCCCACAGATTGAACATTTGAAGTTCATTGGTTCACCAATCTACCTTTAATGATTTTATGAACCTTTATATCCCTTCATGGGGTGTGCGATAGACTTACCTCCACGTGGTGCATCCTGGGCAACGTACACTCATACGGCAAAAAAGTCCATAAACCGGCAGTTGACTTTTGACTTCAAACTGCCAAGATCCCACTGTATGTCATATTCGACTACTTACACAGTACTCACCTCACCTCTTTTCTACCTTTTCTACCTTCGTCTTTGAAACACTCTTCTGTTCCCCCCCCCCTCTCGACTTTCTTTCAACTTTGATGACCTTCCATCTGTGAAGCCTGAAGTCAATTATCAAAATGCCTGCCATTTGATATAATAATACATGTCCCTTCATTCTGTCATGCCTCGTCTGCAGTATTTTCATCAAGAAATGCTTATTAGAGTAATGAGCTACCAATAAAAATGTCAACAAGTGATTGTAAAAACAGAAATACAATGTAACAAATGCGTCAATTAGAGTTCTCCAGAAACCATGCGCGTACTTTCACATATTTTGAATCACAGAGCAAGTGAAGCTCAAAGGTGTTTTATAAATGTTTCTTATTTTCAACGAAAAATATCTATTTGATCGATTTTTTCCAGTTTAATCGAATTAAGTATGCTGGCTGCTCTTCAAATTTAAGACGAAATTTCAATTATGTAAATGCGAAATATTACAAGGTGACATGGTTAATCACAAGAAGCTGCACACTAAATTGTGATTTTTCCCAAAAAATGGCACAGAACAAAATTTCATTGACTTGCACAAACTTGTTACCTGTCAATTCAGGGCGTTTACGTCGTCTTGTGATGCTTTTTTTAGTAAAGAACTGTGAGATCAGAAAATTTTGGAAGCAAGATCTATGCGACACTTAAATTGCATCAACAAATCCTTGATGGCGAAATTTGCTTGCGAAGAAAGTTTGGAAAAAAACTTTGAAAATTAGTATAAATTGAAACGATGCCTTGTATTATTTCGTTCCCTTATAAATAGAATGAATTTTTTGACACTAATATGGACATATTTTAGGTAAATGTTTCAGAGACAATAACAGTGAATTCGAATGCATTTATATAATTCAATGAAGAGGTGTGCGACAGACTTACCTCCACGTAGTGCACTCTGGGCAGCGTATACTCATACGGCAAAAAAGTCTATAAACTGGCAGTTTACTTCTCACTTTAAAATACCATCATTCCACTGTATGTCATATTTGACTACTTCCACAGTACCCACCTCACCTTTTCCTACCTTTGTGACTGTCTCTTTTAGGTTTTTGAAACACTCTTCTAATCCCCCCTCTCGACTTTTTTTTCACTTTGATGTTTCTTCCTCTCTGTGGAGCATGAAGTCGACTAAAGAACTAATAATAACTATCAAAACGCCTGCCATTCGATATAAATAATTTAATGAATACATGCAATACCATCATGAATACTAGAGCACTTTTAGTCAGTTGAATGGAAGAGATCTTTAAGATATTGAAATCATCCCATTTACTTCCATCTGCTTATCTCTTGAACATATTCGCGCACATAATAAATTAAGGTATAATTTTATGCATTTAAACTTTCAAAAGTCGGAAAATTGAGTGAGATTAGGATAAAACGAAGACTAACATCAGTGTATCAAAAGAACCACATATGATATGAATTTTAAAGTCATCCGATTGGATACTTTAAATTGAGGAGCTGAGTTCAGTGAAACAATAACTGAACCACCTGAACCGAGATCAAAGAATCAGTTCTGTTTTAATTGTGACTTTTGTTCTTTTTTGGCTCATAAATCCGTAACGCTTTTAAGGAACGATAAGTTGGTTAGATCGAAAGATAAGTCGTGAGGTCAAGGAATATTGTGATTTTCAGTTTCACAAATTAAAAGACTATAAGCTGCCTTAAAATATTATCGATTGAGGTATCTGACGTGTTAAGCAAAACCTTATCTAAATTGTTGGCATGATGAAGAGCCAATTACCGACAATATGGAACCGGTAGAAAACAAGGTACTATTTCAGTTTTGTGATGCTTGAATCCAACTAAGCAAATACTATCTTATCCTATCGTTTATCTCCTCAGTTTTGATCTTCATAGTAAATTCTATGAAGATAGTTCAGAGACAAGATAGGGTGGTAGATGTATTAAGTGGCAGAGGTAGGGAAGTATTATCACCCTGTGCATAAAAACGGATCAAGCGTCATATGAAATAGAGAGTTAGAAAAAAGTGCACCCCATATTATGATGATGTGTAGTCTGTCTCGCTTGCCTTGTGCAATGTCTATACTTGCCAAGCTAGATGAGGCGTTAGTTGAGGTTATAGCCTCACGTGGTCAGAGTTAATGTGCAGAAAGGTAGAGAGGCCTATTTCACTGTTGTGAATCCTTTTAAATGTGCGGTCGTGTGTAGTACAAGCATCGAAAGACGAATAATGACAACTAAATGCGATTAAATAGAAATGGCCAATCTTCTCAATGTAAATCGATAAAGCGGTAACGATACTCAAACTTTATCGTTAATCATTGCCCTCTAGCGAAGTTTCACGACAAATTATTCTCTTTTTATTGTGGTTTTATTCCGAAGAGAATAAAATAGAGAATAAATAAATTACGTTCTACTAATCTCCCATATTAAAATTTAAACCTACCTCGTATTAGGTGAAATTTACAGAATTATAAATATTTTTTGGGTGCGTGATAGACTTATCTCCACGTGGTGCACTCTGGGCAACGTATACTCAAACGGCAAAGAAGTCTATTAACTGGCAGTTGACTTCTGACTTCAAACTATAATGACCCCACCGTGCGTTAAATCAGACCCCTTCACTATACTCACCTTACCTTATTTTATCTCTACCTTTGTGTCTGTCTCTTTTACATCTGTGAGTCATTCTTCTATTCGAACTCTCTGCTTTGTGACTTTGATGTTCCTCCCCTCTGTGATGTCCGAAGTCAACTAAAGGCCTAATGATAACTATCAGAAAGCCTGTCATTTGGCATAAATAGAAATATGTTTTTCTCAATTAGATATTCAGCATTTGATTTACTCAATCCTAAGTGATCTCGTTTATGTCACAAATACACAGCACAATTTTTCTTCCAAACAAAACTAATTTCACTCCTTTTGTTATAAATAAGCTAACTTTGTGAATCAGTAGACGTCTTTCATCCTTTAAATACTGCATATACAATTGTATCGACTTACTCTTACGGTGAGTTTATTCTGTTATCGAATCCTCTCAACGTTTATGTCGACTACGGTTTAATAATACATATTAACATTGGAATATTTTCAAAATCATTAGTAGTTCAGTGTGTACGTGATGGCTAGTTTAAACTCTCTATTGTTCGTGGAATGGGTTACCGTGGCACAAACAGGCAGGTGTGAGCTTTCTTTTATTAATATGTGTGATAATACAACAGCACATCGCTATCAGCAGCACTGGAATTATAGTAACACCTGGTGCCAATGGGTCGCGCGCGCTCTTTCTCTCTCTCAATGCGCAAATATCGACCTTAGATTGGCGTGTGCGAGCTGGTACCACCAAACGCCATCCACCAATTAGGCCGCAAACACGAGCCTCTGTTAACGCACAAACTAGGTTGCGCGCACATATATAAGGGCAGTGCAGAGGAGCACGCTGGTATCTGGTAAAAGCAATCCACGCACTTTATCACGCACATTTACTCTCGAATCCTCAAAATATGCAACATACACAAGCCCTAGCCACAGGTCTGTGGACTGGAGGGATCAACAGTTCCACTACACCTGCGGCCATGACCCAACAACCTAACATCCTGTTCCCTTCTCCTTCAAATGACCAAATCCTCGCTATGCTTGCTGCTAATGCCAGAAGTACTGAACCCGTTGCTACCTCCCTGTATACCAACTCCGTTTACTCAACCGGTCTCACGGATCCAAATTTCCTTCTCTCTGGATATCCTTTCAATAGCGCCATGACCTCCCCAACAACAGTTTCAACAAATGGATACAATCCCACCGAGGTAAATACCACAATGGCTTAAAATGTCAACCATTTATTTTACATTATCCACTCCTTATCTGTCACTATTATTTTTGGGCTAAAGAGGAGAACCATGAAGAGAGTACATATTAACACCCCGATATCCTATCTCATTAACCCTAGGCCCAACAAACCCTCTACTTGTGAAAACTAATACCAGGGGGTAAGTTGCGCCTAAATATATCCAGCAAAACTATGCCACACTTAATGGCTGTTGCTACGCAACTCGCTCTGCCCAAATTAAAAAAAATAAACTAAGAGGATCAGAGAATGAGAAGTATGTGCTACTATTTTCCTGATCGCACCAACATAATCTGTTCCCTCTCCCTCGCCATATGGATGTGTCCTTCCCTCCCTTCCCCCCCCCCCCCCCCCCCCCCCCCCCCCCACGTCCCACATTCCTTTCCTACTTTTAACGCTTGTAAAATGCTTGTATGTATATACTAGATATTATGCTAGTCTTGTGTGTCAATTACAACACAATCATGCCTCATTTCCTTTCTCCATCATTCCACCTGCTTCCATTCATTATTACTAGTGGTGGCGCGGTCTATTTCCTGTCTCCAAGCTGGTCTTTTCCAACTTAGTTTTTCCCTAATATGTACGTGACTGTCTTTTTTTCATTTTTCTTACCTCTCATCTTACACTAACACAATTGTACTGTTTTTGAAATTCCCATACTCAGGTATAATAGTTACCGTTTGCATTAGGACTCAATTGGGTTTTAATTATCTTACGATATGAGGTTTATTACCTCATGTCTTCCAGAGTGCATGTGTCAATTAGCCAACTGTTTGCACTTGGCGAGTGCGAACAAGGTTTCATTTTGCGTGTACAGATATAGGCAGTGTATTCTTCCATTGGCAAACAGCTCATTAATTGGTTTAGCACAGGTGTATAACCTAAACGGAGGTGTTTGAAGCGATGATTGGTTTTTCCGTATATATCACACTCTAAGTTATGTCGCCTAATCTGAGACAGAGAATTTGTTTACTTCGATCCTTTGTTAACGTGCCCGTACATGATTGTATGCACAACCCCCCCCCCCTCCCACCCTTAAACCTACCCCTCCCTTGCATCAACTTTACGTTGGTTTCACGACTATTTATGCTATGGCGACGACAGCCTTCGCCACGCTGTCAATTCCGCTACTGAGGCTAAATATCGCTATCATTATCTTTGCATTTGACACCCGACTAGGAGGCAATTTTCAGTCGATAGATTTGTTTATATGTGTAGCTGAAGTTGAAAGGTTCATTTTGAGGCCACTTCAGTCGTACTTCAGTATATTCTCCCTTGATTTACCTAACACCTGGTGTTGATGCGTTTTCAATGCACGTTAAAATTCATTCTCATCATCTCATGCATGCAACACTAAATTCTTACCCCCATCTCAGCTCAGCGTAAATAGATAGGCTCTCTCTATAGCTTCTAGCATGGCCGACCCTCTTAGTTCGCTAATGTTAATATCTGGTGACGCATTCTCCCCACCAGACTTCGGAGTGGGGAAAAAACACGTACAATGCCATTTACATTGCTCAATTTGTTATTACGAAAGCACTGAGCGGGTACAGCAGTAGCCCCCAACCCCCGCCACCCCCACCTGACAATTTGATCATATCTCTCACATAATAAATTGTCTAGAACATTGTTTATGTAAACGGTGTATGCGGAGGCAGCTATGTGGTGTCATCTACACTGTCTCTCTTATGAAAGAGCTACTTCCTTAATTAGCATAATAGGCTATGATTAGCTCGTTTAATGCAACGGAAGACCTCTGATTTACGTACTACTTCAGGTGCTCTAGCAAAATCGATTACGTTCTCCTGTTTGCTTTCCTTTTTGTGCATATGCGCTAACACGCCAATAATACCCGCAAATGGAACTATTTCTACCTACTTTAGTGGCTGTATGTGGGACTTGTTTCAAGAGCCCAACACTTTGATGATCAAACAGCAAAACACTAGAAAGCAATCATTCAAAAAAAATTTTCACATAACCTATTAATCATTGTTTGTTTGCTTGTTTGTTTTTATTTTCACGGAGAAATTCTATGAATCTGAAAGAATTCGCGCAAATCTTGTCATTGACATTAGCTAATCAAATTGCACCGCTTTTTCAAGGATTTACCATGGTAAATATGGCGCGGTGTTATTTATTTTGTTTAAAAAAATTAATGCCAGTTTTGCTAGATTATTTGATAAGCGCCTGCCGGGAGGTTATGCGTCTGCTCATTTTTTGCGAGTTGGTGTATGCCTGTAGGGGTTAGCTCTACTCCACCGCTCCCCCCTCCCACCCCTCCCCTCCCCTCCCCTCCTCTCCTCTCCCCCATCTTTATTTTAACCCGCGTTCCATCGCGCTTCTCTTTGGTACTTTATTTTAGTTCCTCTCGCCGATTTTCTCCACTCCGACCGGCACTGGATTAACCTCGGCCGCTACCTCACAAGTCCGCTATAATCCTAGCGCAGTGGCTCTCATGAATGCCATTCGACAAGCCGCTGCAGCCAACTCTTTGACTCTACCTCAACAGTCTGTTCCTCCAACAACTGCTAATTTAGCACCGCCTAACCAATCATCCATATCGGATTTTAATGCGGTCTCTAATTCTAGAAAGCGAGCAGCCAATAATGATAATGATACTCATGGCGTATGTTTCTAGCAAACTCTGGCCGATGTTCTGTTTATTGCAGGTAGTGTAGTCCATTTATTGTTATAGACAACACCAGCTAAAAGAGCAAACACCGGCGCAGAGGACGCTAACAGCGTTTCTAATGTTGTGAGTCAGGCGGCAGCAACAGCAGTGACGAACACGTCTCAAATAGCGAACACATTGGCCTGGTTACAGCATCAGCAACAAGCAACTCACTCGGGTCAATTGGTACAGCAGCAACAAACTCAGTTACCATCATCACCAACCACCATCCCGCTAACTCCAACAACGTCACCTGCCATGGCAATTCAGACGGCTGCTCTACTGCGGTTACAGCAGCAAGCGGCTCAACAACTTATTCAACAGCAACAAGTTCAACAGAACTGGGCTGCGCTATTTGCTCCCTATGGATTGAATCCCCTCGCCTTTTACGACCAATGTGAGTTTGTTCGATTAACACGCGGATACACTGCTGATTGTCTATCCAGAATATAGGTCACTTAGGGGCCTCAATGAGTAATACAGCGGAGATACAGTTTATTAGCTGCACACGCACAATTTAAAAGACGAATGTGCTCTTAAATTTAATCTACTTAAGCAAATCCCGGAAGTTTCCCACCTAGTGATCTTAAAGACTGTCGAGTATCACTTACGGGTTCCCAGTGGTTCTTCATTTCACTTTAAAACGTATTTCTTATTTACCTAACCTTTAAAAATTACTATTTAATGAAAGGACGTTCTCAAAAGAGGTGCAATACGTACATTTGTGATGTCTGCTGTCCTTTAAGATTTTCATGTTTTAACATGTATTTGTGGGGTTTAGAGTCCTGGTTAAAGGCTACTGGAAGGCACACACTCTCTATCCAGTTACTTTCATAGTTTCACTTTTTCGAAGTAAGTCAATACCAGGAGGTAGTTCACTGGCTGTCAAAGTATCAGCCACCTGTAAACAGCTGGTTTTCTTACATTTTGTTTTCAAAGCTAGGGAATGGACAGGCAATGGCCCTATCTAAACTGCGGAAACCTGAGGAATTTACGTTCTTGTCCTTTTGACATAATTCGTCTTCGTATTTTCACTTCTGCCTGAAGCCATGTGACGCTATTTTCTTCAACTCTTAGCCAGTACATCTAGGTGTGCTATTTGTCCAATAGCCAAGCTGTTGATGAAATAACATCGATTAAAAATCAAAATTGACTTGGGTGCCTCTGTGGATTTTTTTGTCAGTATTGTCAGAAACCTAATAATAAATTTGACATCATTCTATTTATATAGAGAAAAGGAGCTGTAGAACCGATAGTCATATACATTTTTTTTCGGTCTTACACTCGAACTATTCTTAGTAAATATGCTGACCTCCTTATTTTGGACATTGCAGTGTACTGTCAGTTTAAGGAAAAGTTGTTCATTTATTTTCAGCCTTATAAGTTAGCTCATGTTGCTAAGATTTGGTGTATTTTATGCCAGTCAGTCAGTCAGTCTTCAAATCTCAAAAAAAACCACCCGAAAAAATCAATCTTTTTTTAAATGAGAAAATATTTGAACCCACTTTCCATTGTAGTTACCGGTAGACTTGCCATGGGTTCTTTGCCTGGAAGTCTCTCCCAAAATCAAGCGCTCATAACCAACTGTCCATATTTCACTGAAGATGGTCATGTGAGTTTTATTGCATTGGAAAAAAAAATTCGCATAATGTTTTTTGTTTAATTTATGTCAAATGGCAAGCTTTCCGATAGTTATAATTAGGCCTTTAATTGACTTGGGGCATCAGAGAGGGGAGGAACATCAAAGTTGCGAAAAAAGAACAGAAGGGTGATATACAGATGTAAAATAGACAGAAATAAAGGTAGAGAAAAAGTAGGGTTTATTTATTTATTTATATCAAATGGCAGGCATTTTGTTAGTTATCATTAGCCCTTTAGTTGACTTCAGGCTTCACAGAGGAGAGAAGGAACATCGAAATGGAAAAAGTTGAGGGGGGGGGGGAACAGAAGGGCATTTCAAAGATATAAAGAGACAGACACTAAGGTAGAAAAAAGGTGAGGTGAGT